CTCCTGTACTTTGGACATGTTATCAGGAGGGACTGGTCCCTAGAGAAGGACATCATGCTTGGAAAAGTAGAGGGTCGGTGAAAAAGAGGAAGACCCTCAAAGAGATGGATTAATACAGTGGCTGCAACAATGGGCTCAATCCTAGCAGGACCGGACAGTGTTTCGTTCTGTTGTACATACGGTCACTATGAGTCGGAACCAACTGGACGGCACCTAACAACCACAACCCACCTGAATTAAAGGAAGCCCCGGTGGCACCATGGTTAAGCATTCGGCTGCTAACTGAAAGGTTAGCCGTTAGACCTGGTGATCTGCTTCCACAAAGATTTCAGCCTAGAAAACCCTATGAAACAATTCTACTCTGTCCTATAGGGTCACTATGAGTGGGAATCCATTAGAGGGCCACAGTTTTTATTTTTTTATACCTGAATCGATACTGTTTGAAAACAGGATTTTCTTTGTTATGTTAATGAGGCCATATTAGCGTAGGGTGTGTCCTAAACCCAAACACCTGTGAAGCGGAAGGAGCAGCGCAGACACAGAGACGTGAAGCACAGACTCAGGGAAGACAGATGCCACTCAAAGATCACAAGGAACCGAGGAACAGAAGCTCCAAGAGACAAGCATTTTCCCCTCGGGCCAACAGAGACAGAGCCTTCCCCTAGAGCCGGTGCCTTGAATTCAGACTTCTAGCCTCCTAAACTGTGTTCTTTAAAGCCACCCACTTGTGGTATTTGTGTTACAGCAGCCCTAGGAACTAAGACCCTACCTAATGTATGCGCATAAGTCGATTTGTAAAAAATCAACTTACAAAGCTTTTTAAGAACCCACTGTTGTATAGCTACCAGTGAGATTTATTTTAAAGCACACAGCTTGAATAATTCACCCAAAACTTCAGAGGAAAACTCTGGGTCCTTTCCCCTAAATCTCTCCTTTTCTTGAATTTTGTTCCTTAGGAAATGCACTCACTGCAAACAGTTTCTCTTACTTTGAAATCTCTCTCTCTCTTTTATCTTTTCAAAAAATGTTATTGTGGTAAGATTTATATAACAAAGCATTTGCCATTTGGAAAATTTTTAAGTGTGCAATTCAGTGACATTGATTACATTCACCTTATTTTACAACCATCACCAAGCACCATCCATTTCCAAAAGCTTCTCATCACCCCAAACAGTAACTCAGTGCCCCTTAAGCAAAAACTCCCTTCCGCAAGCCCCTGGTAACCACTAATAAACTTTCATCTCTATGCATTTGTCTCTTCTAGAAATTTCATATAAGTGAGATTCTATAACATTTGCCCTTTGCATCAAACTTATTTTACTTAACATAATGTTTTCAAGGTTCATCCATGCTATAGCATTTCTCTTTATGGTTGAATGATATTCCACTGAATGGATATATGACATTTTGTTCATCCATTCATCTATTGAGACTTTGAATTCTCTTTGACAAGAATACAAATTTTTACATTTTTTTTAAAAAGCAATTTTGAATGGAAGGAGTTAGGCAGATAGCTTATGTCTTTTGTATTTTTTATTTTAGATTTAGCAAACTTTCTAACTTAATTCAACATCAGGCCTTTGACTGAAAACTAAGACAGGAAAAGAAAATGTTTCAGGTGGTTTTCCTAATGTAAGACACACAATACATTGCCTAGTTGGTTAGCCGATGTGTGTCTCGTTTCCCAGGGAATCCGAGAGCTCCCGAAGGCTGGGACGAAGGCGCTCGCTCAGCACTGCGCATCTGCTCTGCAGGCCACTCTTCGGATTTTATTATACGCTCCAATCATTGGGATGAAAATCAGAGAGGAAAACCTAAATTTGTTTTCCAACTTGGGGGAAATGGTTAAAAATGTTCTCTTCTTCCTGCCAGTCACTTAGCATTTCCATTTATATTTAGTGTTCCATTTGTCATCTGTTAGGGCACCGCTAGTCATCTAGTGCTGCGCTAACAGAAATACCACGAGTGGATGGTTTTAACAAAGAGAAATTTATTCTCTCACAGTCCAGTAGGCTACAAGTCTAAATTCAGGGCGTCAGCTCCAGGGGAACGCTTTCTCTCTCTGTCGGCTCTGGAGGAAAGTCCTTGTGATGCATCAGTCTTCCCTTGGTCTGGGAGCATCTCAGCGCAGGAACCTCAGGTCCAAAGGACGCGCTCTGCTCCCAGCACTGCTTTCTTGGTGGTGTGAGGTTCCCATGTGTGCCTGCTTGCTTCTCTCTTTTATATCTCGAAAGAGATTGGATTAAGACACTATCTAAACCTCATCAGTATAAAACCTCACCATAGTGAGAGTTTACAACACATAAGGAAATCACATATAACCTCATCATAGTGATAGAGTTTACAGCACAAGAGGAAATCACATCAGATTTACAAAATGGTACACAATCGTACAATACTGGGAATTATGACCCAGCCAAGTTGACAGATATTTTTGGGGGACATAACTGAATCCACGACAGGCACGTACTAGGAGCCCTGGTGGTGCAGTGGTTAAGTGCTCGGCTGCCAACTGCAAGATCAGTGGTTTGAGCCCACCAGCCGCTCTGCAGGAGAAGATGCGGCAGTCTGCTTCCGTAAAGAGTTACAGCCTTGGAAACCCTACGGGGCAGTTCTACTCTGTCCTATAGGGTCACCCGGAATTGACTCGACAGCAGTGGGTAAAGTGGGTAGGGGACAGACTGGTTCTAAGGAAGCCACATAAAAGGCACACTTCCTGCTCTATAAAACTTTATGAGCTTTCCACTGTGATGTCCAAGATAACAGAGTCACAAATTCCAAGAAGGCCGTATCTACAAAGAGCCTTGAAGATCATCTGGTCCAACTGGCTCTTATTTTATTGATCTGTGTAACATGAGAAGTGAGGACTTACCTAAGCAAATTAGAAAAAGGCTGCTATTCAGTGCAGTGTACCATTCATATTAATAAATGTACCTCCTCCCAAATTTATAAAAGCCCAATGCTGATGTAAAAGTCCAGAAAAATAAAGAGTGATGATTTATTTATAAATTATTCAAAGTGTTCTAAATAGATGCTCCTATAATGCACTTAGGTCCCTGGGTGGTGGAAATGGTTAAGCGCTCAATTAGTAACCAAAATGTTGGTGGTTCACATCCATCCAGAGGCACCTCGGAAGAAAGGCCTGGTGATCTGTTTCCAAAAGGTCATAACCTTGAAAATCCTATAGAATGCAGTTCTATTGTACAATATATGGGGTCATCATGAGTCAGAATCGACTCAAAGGCATTTGGTTTGGTTTATTTTTTTATATAATGCACATAAACGTTCTGTAAAGTTAGATTTATCCACAACTTTTCTGGAAGACCTCATAAAGCAAGGTATACCGATACGGTAACAAAAGTTATTAAGGAGGAGGGGAAGTGGCTATGACGATGCTTCCAGCTTTACTCATGCATCCCATTTAATCCTTCAAAACCCTGTGAGGTCGGGATAGTCATCACTCCTTTTATGGTTTCAGGAACAAACTCAAGGAGATCAAGCAATTTAACCACGGACTCCTAACTAGCAAAGAGGGGCTTCCGTTGCTAGCATATTCTGATGTTATACACAGTCTTTTGCAAGATTTAATCGAAACTCATGGCATATTCAACACATATATTACACTATTATTCTCTGACCTTCATTTCCACGGATGGCCTCATTAGATTGCCGTTTTATATTTTTTAAATCAATTTCCAACGTGACTTTCTTTTGAAATGTACCAGACTTACAGCCAGATACATTCTTTTTCCATTGCCCTACTGTTACCACCTACTCCTGAGAATGACAAATAACAGATCTTTATCAGCACCTTCTGCAGAGTAAAATCTCAAGCTCTGTAACAGCAAAAAGTAACCCCACACAGACTTTACCCTACATAAGTTAGTTGCTTCAGAATGACTTAATCAATGGTCACATGAAGATAAAATACATTTCTAGTAGTCACCATGTGAAGAACGGGATGACCAAAATCTATGGGCTACTCAACTTCAAAAATAACAGGCAGGTTGAAAAAGGTATTGGACTAGGAGGTTTGACTTCTTGGATTCCTGTTCTCTGCCACTTACAAGCAATACGGTCTTGAAAGGCCACGTAACTTCTTTGAGTCTCTGTTTCACTTTCAGTGAAACAGAGATTATAATTCTTGCCCTATCTTCTGCACAGGATTGTTCTGTCAGTGGAGATAATGCATGGATTCAGAAATATGGCACCGGATAGCATCACAGATATTACTTTACAGCAGGTGAAGTGACTCAAAAACATCAGAGAGTCAGTGACTAACAGAGCCAAGACTCTAATTCATAACTCTGAGCTTTTAGTCCTGGGCCTTTTCCACTCAACCTGTTGTCTTTTCTGTAATAGCCTGTAACCACTGAACTTTGCACATTCTTACCCAACACTCTTTGACTGCTCCCTCCGGAAAGCCAATCTAGCTTCCCTTTGGGAAAGTGTCATAGCCATTCTCAACGTATAAAGCAACACTTTATAACGCATGCTTTCCAAGCTAAAGACCATCTAATATTTTACAGCTGCAAATGCTGTCTCGGGTCACCTGGCCCGACATTCTACTTAAGTAAACATCCGCTCTGCTACATCACTGAGATGTATGTTTGGGCAAAGTACTCAAAGCCATCTCTAACGCCAATACTTTGTGGACCACTTTAATACAAATGAAACTTTGTTTGCAGCATATACAAAAATCACAGTGCGTTGTAAGTCAAAAAGCTTTGCTCAAGGCAATGATGTGGCATTAACAGGAATAGAGAGAACTGGAATTGCAAGGGAAGAGAGGAAGACTGGTTCGGAGGGGCAACCCTGGGCTCTGCCCCCAGCTCCCAGCTGACCTTGGGCCAGTCACGTGAAAACCTCTCAAGGCTCCGATCCCCCCGACTATGAAAGGGGGCCACACCGGCAACGTCCGGGGTGTTCCCCTCCCAGAGATGCTGAGAAGCTGCGAGCGGGACGGCGGGCGGTGCGCAGGGTTGCGGAGCACCACTCACCGGGCCAGGAGCTCCAGGAAGATCACGTTGCTGCAGCAGCCTGCGAACACCAAGCCCACTGCGAAGGCCGGGTGCATGGCCGGGGCCGGGCAGCGAGCGCGCCGAGGAAGCGCCCGCCTAGACCGCTACCCCAGGAAGCCGGGCTCCCGCCGCCGCGTCACGGAGCATCGCCGCCCACCCAGCGCGCTGCTCTCCGCGACACCCGCCGCGGCCTCCCCTTCCCCCGCGGCCGCCACCGACGCGGACAGCCGGCGAGCTGTAGTTCCCAGTAGGCGCCGGCCCCATTCATCCGAGGAGGCGTCCTAGGCCGGGCTGGACTACATCCCAGGATGCCTCGTGCCCTGACGTCAGGCTATGATGTGACCCGCCGCCGCCGGGCCCCTCCAAGGGAGAGGAGGGAAAGGCGAGGTACCCGTCATGCCTCGTGTCGGCCGTGGCCGCGAGGCTTGCTGGGAAATGAAGTTCCAACGCTGTCAATCTGTTCCTTGCAAGACACTAAGGACTCAGAGCGGAACTGGCTGTCCGTCACTTGCAAAACAAAGTCGCAGCTGGCAGCACTGCAGCGACAGACTTTTATATTATCTGTTGACGGTGTTCTAGTATCTGAAACAATTCTACTGAATTGAGTGAAGGTAGACATTCCTTTGAAATTACTTCTCTACCTCCTGAAAAAAAACAGTGGACTATTTCAGAAAGCTGTGGGGTTGAATCTTGGTTCAGCCACTTATCATCTCTACTACCTTAGGCAACTTCCCTGAGCTTCAATCTTATCCTAGGTAAAGATGGGAGGAATAATGCCTCCCTTGCCTGGTTGTTGTGAGGGTTAACAGATATGATTTGTGAAAAGCCTAACATAGTAAATTTATTACTTTGCATTATTATTGGCAAAGCACCTACTTGGTGCTGTTAGCAAATGTTAGCAACTCTAGGGTAAGGACTTTCTTTACTTCATTGTTGTATTTTGCCAGCATTGTGCCTGGCACAAAGTACTGAAAAACCAAACCCATTGCCGTCGAGTGGATTCTGACTCACAGCGACCCTGTATGTTTCCAAGGAGCACCTGGTGGATTTGGACTGCCGACCTTTTGGTTAGCAGCCGTAGCTCTTAACCACTATGCACCAGGGTTTCCTGGCACAAAGTAGGTGCTCATTAAATGTTGAATTTAACTGGTAGTACGCGCTCTATTGAGGAGCCCTGGTGGCTCAGTGGTTCAGAGCTTGGCTGCTAACCGAAAGACTGGCGGTTCTAAGCCACCAGCTGCTCCACGGGAGAAAGCTGTGGCAGTCTGCTTCCGTAAAGATTTACAACTTTGGAAACCCGATGTGGCAGTTCTGCCTTATCCTGTAGGGTCACTATGAGTCAGAGTCCACTCGAGAACAAAGGGTTTTTTTTTTAGGCACTCTATTCATGTTAGACTTGTTCCTGCTCAACTTCTTAAGGCAGTAATTCTCAAATTTAGGATGCATTAGAATTACCTGGGTATCTGTTAAAAATACAGGTTTCTAGACCCCATGCCCAGGGATTCTTATTCAGTTGGTCTGAGATGGGACCCCATAGTCTTCACTTTTAACAAGCACCCCGGAGGGTTCTGATGTGGACTCTAGGCCACAAATTGGGAAAAAAACCACTTTGCAGTATCGTGTGGATATTTGGGAGTCGCTGGGTGGTGCAAACAGTTAACGTGCTTGGCTGCTCACTAGAAGTTTGATGGTTTGAGCCCACCCAGAGGCGCCTCAGGAGAAAGGCCTGGTGACCTACTTCCAAAAAACAGCCATTGAAAGCCCTGTGGAACATTGGTCTACTCTGCACACACTGGATCACTGTGAATCGGAATTGACTCAGCTGCAGCTAACAGCAACGACAACAACAGAGGATTAACACTAAAAGGTTAAGAGAACAGTCGAGATTATAGGAATAGTACTACAGGGTGCAGCCATGACCCAGGACTGAGGCAGACTACCCAAGGAAAGAACAAATTTGGAAGACGGCCTTCTCCCCAGGAGTCTGAGATTGAGCCCTCATTGGAGAGGATGTGGCTGAAGCCTTCTGGATAGTAAAGAAGTTCAGGGAGGTGCCTCATGGTGAGGCTGGTAAGCAGCAAACCACTAGCTGGGGTGCTGATGAAATTTCCCAGGGGCTGCCTTCTGAGATGTCAGTGGAACTTGCTGGGAAGCTGGCTGGAGCTCTGGCATAACTTGCTGGATACCAACTGTGAAGGTGCTGCTGAACTCACTAGGGGTGAGGACCACAGGTTGTCCTGCATGCTGGTTGAATACTGCAGGTACAACTGCAGGTACAAGAAGAGAGGAAAGTACACCACAACTAAGAGAAGCCACCTTCTCGTACAGTGTTCCCGTAGCACCCTCCCTAACAACCTATGGTGTCCCTGCAGCGCCCTCCATGACAACGCTCAACATCGCGCCAGCTGGCAGAGGAAAAATGTTCACAGGGTCCAGCTCCAGCATCACATACGCGGCACTGAAAGATTGATTTGGAGCCGAAAGGCTACAAATTAACAACAGAAACATCCAGGATATATATTGTTAGGGCTCTTTTTTTTTTTTTTCTATTGTAATGAAAATATGCATAACAAAACACATGCCAACTCAACCATTTCTACATGTAGAATTCAGTGACTTTGATTATGTTCTTCAAATTGTGCGACTATTCTTGCTATGCTTTTCCAAATCATTCCATCACCATTCATTTGTAGGGATCATTTTAACTTCAACATTTTAATTCTTTTTATCATAAAACCAAAATTATGACATGTAGGCATGGCTTTACCTCCTAGACTGTTTCCTTCTTATTTCCCCTCAGTTCAAAATTCTAGCATCTCTGAATGAATAACAGCTCCTTAGACAGCAGCTGGGCTCTACGTGTTTAAACCTCAGCACCATCCTCTTACCTCATGTGCAAGGACCTACCATTTAGGGAACGTTCATCATCTTGGTCCCAGTATTGTCAGCAGGAAAAGCTTTCAAGGTTGTTTAAAAGCCATTTTTGCTTCGAGTTGCAGCCACTCAGACGTATTTTGAATCATTTATAAAATCCATTTGACCAAGTTGCTGGCAAAAAAATAAAGTCCTGTGACTTCTGTGGGAGTCCTTGATGGGTATCCTCACTCAGGGTGACAGTCTTACAGAGATCTGTGGCTTGATTTTTTGAAAACCTGTTTCCATGTGTATCACATGAGGGTGATTTTCTTATCTCTATTTCATATAAATCTTGAACTGCTCAGAGCTGTGCACAGGAAAGATGCACTATAGATATAATTGAGGTATATTTAGAAGGTAAAAATATTCATGCTGCTTGTTTCATAGGTCAGACTCAAGCAATGCCCCGGGGTATGGATAGATTTATGTAATCTAACTTCTTCAAGGACGTTATTCAAAGACAGGTTTTCTTTTTCAGATTACTATGGTTAAGAGTTTGGACTAGGAAGGAAACGTTCTAGACTAAAATGTTAGTGCCATAAAGGCAAGGACTGTCTTATTAGCCACAGGGTCATCGACATCTAGATGGCATGTGGCTCGTGGTGGAATCTCAGTAAGTAATTGTGGAAAGGAAGGAAGGAGGGAGAAAGAAGGAAGGGAAACCTTTAGAAAGCTTGCTCCTTTTTCCTTATTGTTGATGTCGTTAACTGCCACGGAGTAGGCTGCCTGACAACAGAATGAAGTGCTGCCTGGACCTGTGCCATCCCCATGATCGGTTGTGGATTTGGACCGTTGTGATCCATAGGCCTTTCATTGGCTGTTTTTTTTCAGAAGTAGATTGCCAGGCCTTTGTTTCTAGTCCATCTTAGTCTGGAAGCTCCACTGAAACCTACTCAGCATCATAGCAACATGCAAGCCTCTACTGACAGACGAGCGCTGGCTGTGCATGAGGTGCATTGGCTGGGAATCAAACCCAGGTCTCCCGTATGGATGGCAAGAATTCTACCACTTGAACCACCAATTTCTCAGCCCTTTTTTTTAGGGATTCTTATATACAAAGGGGCCCTGGTGGCGCAATGGTTAAGAGGTATGGCTGCTAACCACAAGGTTGGCAGTTCGAATCCACCATCTGCTCCTTGGAAACCCTCTGAGGCAGTCCTACTCTGTCCTATAGGGCCGCTATGAATCGACTCGATGGCAATGGGTTTGGTTTTGGGATTTAATATACAAAATAGACGAGGGGTTGAAAATGGCATTCGCTCTGGGAGACACTACTAAGTGAGAATCGCTGCCTGAAGAGCCGGACCTGTGGTTGTGGGTGAGCCCCTGAACGGCAGGAACCATGGCTTGTTTACCCTCGTGCCTCGGTTTTCCCCACTTGTTGCTGAGTGAATGCTTGTTAAATCGTATCACTGAGTTGAGGAGGCAAATGTCATTATGAGAACGGCACCTAACAACAACAACAAAGCCGACCTTTAGGAAAAGAACGACGCCAGAGAAGCATGTTTTCTACGTCGAGTGTAGCACGCCTCAGAGTTCTTTTTTTTTTCTTTAATTGTGCTTTAGGTGAACGTTTGCCGCTCAAGTTAATTTCTCAGACACAAATTTATGCACGTCTTGTTGTGTGACATTAATTGTAATCTCCGTAATATGACAGCACACTCCCCCTTTCTACCCTGAGTTTCTTGTGTCCATTCAACCAGTTCCTGTCCCTTCCTGCCTTTTCATCCTGCCTCCAGACAGAAGCCACCCATTCAGTCTCCCGTATCTGCTTGAACTAAGATGCACACTTAGAAGCACACTCAGAGTTCTTCACTGTGCTTCCAATCCCCCTTGTATAATTGATAATATTTTAAGGAAAACAAACAAACAAACATGGAATCATTTCATTTTCTTACCCTGGTTCTGTCACCTTCACTTTCTCCAACTCAGGTATGAAGTAAGTGTGAAGGTGTTACTAACCCATGTCCTGGGACTTAGGTTCTGATCTGTTGTTTCAGGTGGTGGCCATAGCACAGTGCATATGCTGACTGCTTCAGTTTATAAACTGGCTCTACACACAGCAGCTCATCTACCCCTCGCATCGATTATGTGATGTCGATACACCAGTTGCTGTCGAGTAAATTCCAACTCATGGTGCCCCCATGTGTGTTAAGAGTAGAACTGTGCTCCGTAGGGTTTTCACTGGCTGGTTTTTTGGAAGCAGACTGCCAGGCTTTTCTTGTTGAACGCATGTGGGGCCAGGCAGGTTAGACAAATGTGTGAAACAGTCTGGCAGCCAAGTCTAGAAGTGTTGTTGGGGAGGTGGAAAGCGTACGCTCTGTTTGAACGCATTCAAAGCTACCATTTTCAAAGCTTGGTGTACACCAGCCTTTGAGCCAGAGTCTTCCTGCAGGCTGCTGGTTTGTGACCTCTGATCCTGCCCTAGGTGACGGA